GCTCAGCAGTATTAATCATATATGCATTTATCAGCAATACAGATATAGCCATAGAGATCCTGCTGTGATTAAACATGAATTTTCCTTTAAATGACATAGAAGCTGAAACTATGGAAAAGTTTCACAACTTTTCTGTAATACAAGTCCAACACCCTTTGACTGAAAAAGCTGATATACAAGTTTCTGTTTTCAAGAATAGTACTTCATACCAAGAGCTTTCAGATACTGAACTGCAAAAGCCAAGGTCTCTTGATTTCCTCTTCTAGAGAGCATACTTTGATAACCAAAGAAAATTCAGAGATATATATTCAAGTTATAAACTTTGCCAAGATCTGCCATTTAAAAAAATACACACATAAAAAAAAGCAGTTGCTGGAATCTTCATCTTCAGTAATCCCTAAAATAAGGCATCAAAATACATAATCCTTTCCTTCTCCAGCACTTCATATGTATTTCAAAAGACTTTTTTTATAAGCCTTGTCCTCAGGAAACCAAGGCAACATGGTCACACTATGTGATGCCTCCACTCCTCTTCAGCCTTACCACTCCCAAAACACACATCACTGCCCCCAGTCCACTTACTAGCCAGCTTCAAAGAAATGCTCAGAGGCTGATGGCTCCCAAGAACCAACCAAGCTTTCCTAAACATCTATAAGCTTTCTAAACAGACAACAGCTCCATGACAGCATTGTAGTGGAGCAAAGCTGCAGCATACTTTCAGTTACTAGACATGAGAGCATTCAGAGTGTCTTCAACAGTGAAGCACTGTAAATTTTTTCAACTTCATAACCAGTAAGAAAACATTTCCATTGTTAATGCAGTGGCTGGAGAGACTGCTTGCTGAATTAAGAAACTGGACCAGGGAAGTAACCTTCTGTCCCCAGTTATTCACTCCTTAGTCAACTGATACTTTTACTTACTTAATACTTGGAAGAGGAGGCCTGAAGTGATGCTTTAGCAGAGCATCCTCTTTACTACTACTAGACTTGTCTTAGTAGCCTACATTTAATTCTTGAAATATTTTAAGCTTTTATACTCCTACAAGGAGCTGCAAGAAGCAAAACCAAGTTTAATCAATAATGCTGTTGAAACAGCTAATGTAATTCTTACTTCACTGAGAAATATTTACAGTAGTCTGGAACAAACCAGCAAGAGGCTAGCTCCAATTTCTCCTCATCTATCACAGGCAAATGCCTCAGGGCATCTTCATGGTGTTAAAAGAATTAGCACATCACTTGAAAAATTAACCAGGTATCAAAAGCATATATTTAAAAAAAAAAAAAGTAGTAAAAAAGTGGCCTATGTAGTATTTTATTCTAAGTGTTCCATACCAAAAGTCACCAACACAAGAAACGTGACAGTATCAAACAGCTTTCCTTAAGAATGTAACTTCATTTAAATACTTTGTTGAAAATTGTCTTCTAACCTCATTTATTGTCTCAGAATATGACTCAGGAATTTCAGCTCCAAACACAGCCATATTCTATTGAAAGCTCTTTAGAACAAGAAAAAAAAAAGGTCGACCCAAAGTGCATCAGACATCCCACAGTTGTCAAAAACACAACTACTCAACTGCTTACAGGCAAGCTGAATTCTTTTGATAGGCTGCTGAATTAGTAACATCATCCTGAAAGCTGCAATGAAGATTTTCTTGGTGAAATCTGGTAGTTAATGCCTCTTAATAACAACCAATTTCATCACATGTACTGAAGGAAGAGGCTGTCAGCTTTCTTGTGCAGCTACTTATATCCAAAAGCTTATAATGTTCTGCTGGATTTTGTCAAGTGTGAGGCTTTTTTTTTTTCCCCTTGTGTTGTGTTCAGCTTAAAGTTGTGTGTGTGTGTGAGATCATCCTCTCCCACAACTAATCTGGAAATGCTTACACAGTTATGTATCAACCAAAACTAATAGTTTTCAAAAACAGGTACTTCAATTTTCAGGTCATATGAAAAACTGTATTCTCCTCTAGGCAATCTATAATTAATTTGGTCTTTCCTGCATAATCAAACAAACATTTCCATAACTAAAGGATAAATCAGACCTGGGACAGAGCTAGATGAAAAATAATCAAGGAAGAGTTAACAGATAAATTTCACAATACTGCCTCGCTGAAAAGCCAAATTGTGCTGACACACAGCTGAAGAGTGACATACTATCTGTGCCAACACTGCCTTTTAAAAAAGGCTTGTCAACCTTTTATTTCTAAAATTCTCAATTTAGGCTTGGAATTTTAAGTTTATAACCACAAAAAAAACAAGATGAGGCTGCAGGGCTACTTAGGTTTGAATTCTGTCATGTCTCTACAAATCTAAACTGCACCCTCAAAGAAATCACTGTAAATCTACAGTAATGCTTAACCAGATGCTAGACCTTTGCAGAGGGGGTATAATGGGAGTGAGAGAAAACTTAGCTACCACTACTTGCTCAGTAGCTGCATTTCTGAATCTCCAGTGAAGAATGTTTCAGACGAAGAACTAAAATACCTCTTTGTTAACCATGACTATCAGTGTTTACATCAGTTGTTCACCATCAGCAAGTGATAAAAAAACATCAATCGTTAACCAGAAGAGGGGAACAAACCAACCAACCAAAGGCATTCCACCCGACCACCGTACTAGTCTGATCGCATACCCACGCCGAGTGCTCTGGGCCACCAGCAAGGGCTCAAAGCCTCCGGGTACTGTGGTTTATACCATGGCAGACAGTTTAAAGGCAGACGAAGGGAGCGAGCAGTTCCTAGCAACAGGTTACTAGCAGGGGAGGACAGCGTGCCCGGCACACTCGGGTTTTGCTTGCCCCAGCCTGGGGCGCCCGCAGCATAACCCGCCGTTAGGGCCTCCCTCGCGCGCCTCCAACGGCTGCCGGCGCCGCCGCCCTCCAGCCCAAGGCCAGCGACCGCCACACGATCGTCTCAGCAGCACCACCGCGGCAAGCCGGCGGCAGCACCCCACCGAGCCGCGACCGCCTTGCACTCGCCCCTCAGTGGAGGCCGCCAGAGGCCCCCAGCGGGCTGCAACCCCGGCCACAGACCGGGGAGATAGCCGGCGAGCCGGCATCGTCTCACCAGGGTCCCCTTCTCCCTCCCCGGGCACCCACCTCATCCAGAAACTTAGTGACATCGTAGATGCGGTGGTGCAGGATGATCCAGGTACTCTGGCTGTTGTTGTGCTTCTGCACCTCCTCCAGCCGGTAGTACCTGCCCCGCCACGGCTCGCTGCCGGCCTCGCTGGAGCCCACCATCCCTGCTGCACACAATACCGACTCCCCAACAGACTACAAGCCCATACCCCGACACACACTGACCTAAGCCCCACTTCAAGCCTATCACCGCCCGTCCCCTCGCTTTCCGGCTTCTCATTGGCGGAGACAACCGCCATTCAAAGAAGGCAGGCGGCTGGTGAGCGCGGTGGGCGGGACCTGGGAGGGGTGGGCCGGCGGCCTCGTGTCTGCTCTCCTCACTCACCACGCTCGCTGCTGCGAGCTTGCGCGGTTCTCTCCATGTGACCAGACGCCGGTCACGTGTCGCGTTCGCCGGCGTCTGTCAGGCTGTGGCGGGGGATCGAACTCCTGGCCCTTCTTTCTACACCCACCACTTGGCGGGACGGGCGGTTCTGTGTGGGGTGGTTTAACTTGAGCTGAGTTAACTGTATGTGTGTTTCCAACAGGGGAGCTGGCCTCAAGCAGCAAGTGGATTACTGGAGTATTGCAGCACGCGCTTTATAATACCTTTGTCATAAAATCCCCAGTTGGCCATTTAGGATTCTTTTAAACATTATGAAAGCTGAGGACCCAGCCTTTCTCTTCCATGTTCGCAAATGCGCGAGATTGTTTTCTCATTTGTTTAAAATGGTCCATTCCCTTTAGATGTAGCTTTTGGAATTTTCTGATGAAGTGATAGTTTTGTCTGGCATTTTAAAAAAATAAATATTTTTCCTTATTGCTTGAACACCTTGAAATGTGTTTTCCTTTAAGGGTAAGCAACAAGGAAACATGTTATTTTAAATTACAGTTATGAAACACTGTGCTTTCTATAGGATATGACGGAGGTCGATCTGTTTAATGTGTAATACTGTTAAGCAAAGCAAAGTAAAATCAGAACAACAAAGTTGTCTTTGACATTGTTCCTCAAAAAATGTTTCCAATTCATAATTTTTTGATAATGATTTGCAAAATTGCTCTTCAGGTGAATACCTGGTGGCTTCCTAAAATTTGGAAACAGAATATTTATTGCTGTCTTCACTGTGCAGGTAAGATAATTTCCCCAAAGGTTTTTAGGGTTTGGAAGGGGGAGAACTATTAAAACAGGTTTTTCTGGTGTGCAGTGTTTATTCCTAGCTTTTCATAAGAGCAGACTTTCTACCTGCTTCTTTTTCTTCAAAATGCTTTGAGAAAGGTGCTATAGTTAAAAAGGTTTATTTTCTTTAAATAATGAAATATTAGTTACTCTTTTTTTTTTTCATAAATATTATAGTTCCTTTACTATAAGCCTTGCCTGTGCTGCAACAGGCATCCAACAGGCTGAAATAACACAGCTGCCTCTGTGTTTCCATGTTCTGTGGTTTTCATTCTTTGCCACAGTACAGCCATGGTCTTTATATGACTGAGCACATCTCTGTGGAGCTCCTAGGAATTAAACTTTCTTGCCACATAGGAGGGGACCAGCTTCACAGAGGGATTCCTCAGCTCTTGGATCCCAGATAGATTCCGGCCCCAATGGAGACTGAGAAGATGGAAAGGATGCTTTCATCCTTGTCTTTATTCTGAATATTTTTACTCTTGTAAATACTTCGGAGTTTTTTTTCAATCGTAGCGCAGTATTTATAGCAACAGTATATTGAGCTGTCCATTTTAGTTGATTCAATAATGTTATATTGTCTACCTAAAATTAATCAGAAATGATTATCCATTTACCTGATACCATATACTTAAAAGTTCGGTAAACAAATATCTGCCTTATAAAAATTAAATATTTTTTTTCCCTTTCAAGACCCAGAGGCCGCTTTGGGGCAATCTACCTATAGCATGAATGACACCAAGCACCAGCCTTTGTTCTTTGTCAGTCTGCCAGAGTTAGAAAAACTCTGTGCTGCTACAGTAACACTGAGTTCTCAGATACCAGAAAGTGAGACAAGGAGTACACAGATAAATATTTGCAGGTAAAAAATTTCAAGGGCTGTTATTTCAGAAGCTGGTGGTGATTATTAATCAAAGATTTTATTAGCAGTACTAAAATTAAGTGTAATAAAATCAGCAAAATTCTTAGCAGCAGCAAACAGTATAAAACTGTTCAGAATAGATTTTGGTTTTTGGGTTTATTTTTTGGTGGGGGACTCATGCTATTAAGGGAAAAAAAACATTGCTATTATATTTTAAATATCATCAGCTAAAACTAGCTAGGCCAAATTAAAAAATAATTGAAATTGACCTCTGTTCATTTGTAAAGCTAGAATGCTTTATGTAGGTGGAGACTAACTAAAAAGAATACTTGACAAGCATATGTACACTCCTTAATGTTCACCAATCATTATGTTATTACCTTTCATAGGAAAGGGGAGAAACAAGAAACGCTACCAAAAGGAACACTTTTGGAGAGTTCTGTTTATGTGCCAAAGACCTGTAGTCTTTGCCTTAGACCACCGTGGGTGGGTTAAGAACAAGTAACTTGGACTAGCCCAACGTCCTATACTGAGCCATTGAAAACCGGTTAAAAGGGGTATATATTATGTTTGGAGATGGTGAGGAAAATAAATTTAAGATGAGAAAATCAAGTATGGAAACAAAATTTTTTTTCCCTAACATTTTATTTATTTGTTTTAATAGGCAGTTATTATTCCTGCATCAAGACATCCTTTCTGCACCTCTTATTGGAACACTAAATCAAATTTCAGTCGTAATGGCGGTCAGTATCACTGTGTAAATGAGTATATGTAGTCACATACCTTAGCATATGAGTGGAATGCACCTCACTCAAAAGAGAGAATCTGGAAGATGTGTGTTTTATAGAGGTAAAATAATAATTTGACAGAGTTCAATAAGTTTGATGGAATTTAGCAAAGTTTTAGCAAGGTTCACCTTATTAATTACTGCATGGAAGAAACATAGAGAGGAAAACTGACTAAGAATGACTCATACAGAGGTTGGAGGCAGGAAGAGTAGAGGACCCTCCTGTTGAGTCATGAGGTTCAGAGTGTACCCTGTTGTTTTCTAAACTCATTTTGAAGCCTAGGTGTCCAGTCTTAGTTTCAGACTTGGTCAATGGTTCACATCTGATGGAATTATCTACACAATGCTTATAATATCTGAGTAGCTATATGGATTATTAATGCTTCATAGTATTAATTCTGCATGATATCACTAATTTAGCAAGGATCTGCCATAGGTAGGAGATCTTTCCACCTTGGCTAAGGAAGGATCTCTTAGTCTTAGCTAAGGTATCTCTAGCCTTTAGAAGGTCCCTGCTCAAGAGGAGAATCATCTGGCACACAGGTCAGCTGCTGTTCTGGAGCAGCCCAAGTCTGGCCTATCCTGATTTCAGTATTTATAGGGTGAAGTAGTTTGCTGCTAATCAGTGTATAGACAAGGCAGAGGTCTTCAGTTCAGCTCTGGTATCTTGTTCAGTACTTCGGTTATCTTGTACTTTTGGGTTTCAAAACCACCTTTCAAATATTTTTCAAGACACTTCACTCCCTCTTACATGAGCATGGGGCTTTCCAGCTCTCAGGTTTATCCTGAGGACTTGAGGCCTGTTGCTTCTTTGTCAGCCTGAACCAAAGTACAGCTAGGAGTCAAGTGTATCCATCACACATCCCTGCATGTTTCTCTAAGAAGTGTTTTGTTTGAGAATAAAGGATAAGTAAAATAAAGTCATTTAAAGCAAAATTTTATTTTTGTGGGTTAGTACTGTAGATGTCAGCTTATGACTTCTACTTTTCTGATGAAACGGCCTTTCCAGATGGTGAACCTCTTACAGAACAAAATGGACTCAGTTGGTAAGATGCCACCGAATTCACAGTGAGAGCATCAGGGGCAGAGCTCTGCATTTTTGTTTTGGATAGTCTTTTGCTTGCTACATAAGGTATCTTTAGCTGGTGAAGAGTTTACACTATGGCAAATGCCTGAACTCAGTTATTGTGCTCCTTTAATATACAGGATATGGCATTTGCTGTAACTATTTCTTAGCATGTTTTTCTTAGGCAAAGTCAGTGACGGACCATAATTTAATTTATGAATTGCTAAAATACCCCTTAATTTGCCTTATTTTTATAATTATTTTTAGATACCATTTTACAAATCAGGAATATGTCAGGCCTACATAGAGAAACAAGGAGCTACTGTAAGTGCCGAAACATGTCTCACTTCTTAAGACTGTTACACTTGTCTTCAATTGCTGTTTCCAGAGATGTGTATTTTTTGTAGGGCATGCAATTTGCACTACAGAAGCCAAGTTTCAGGGTAAAAAAAGTCTGCCAAACTCTCCTTTATGAATCTTGGTTTAATAAGTGTACTTTGTCAGTCAGAAGTTTTAAGAAGTTCCTGAGCAATTTCATTAGGTTGCTGCAGTTGGAAAACTGATCCTACTCAGAAGTGTTGAGGTTTGTCCTCAAGGCAATGACAGACCTGCCCCTTGGGCCAAAGACCTGCAGCTCTTCTGAGGGTGTCAGGTCCCTCTGTGTGTGCCCTGTAGGTTCCACATGTGCGGGTGTTCAGACAGCTGAACTGTCTCCCCATTCACGGTTTGGGTTTACACAGCTTGTGTAGGACAGTCTCAGAAAAACAAAACACAAACATAAAGAAGAAATGGAGCCCATGAGCTTAACATCTGATACGTTTTTAGACCATTATGCACATGATTTACTATCTTCTAGTATGTCATGTTTGTGGAGTTTATGAATGTATGGACACACTAAAGTTGCTGAGTCAAAAGACTGCTTGTAATCAAAGCCAGGAGCTCTCACGATTCATTTACAGTCAGTCAGGTGTATTTCTCTTTGTTCCAAGAAGTGTAAATGCATATCCAGAGGGACCTTGACATGCTTGTCAGGTGGGCTGCTGCCAACCTCATGAAGTTTAACTATGCCAAGTGCAAGGTCCTACACCTGGGTCAGAACAATCCCAGGCACAGCTACAGGTTGGGCAGAGAAGAGATTCAAAGCAGCCCTGTGGAGAAGGACCTGGGAGTGTTGGTCGATGAGAAAATGAACATGAGCCGGCAGTGTGCGCTTGCAGCCCAGAAAGCCAACTGTATCCTGGGCTGCATCAAAAGGAGTGTGACCAGCAGGTTGAAGGACGTGATCCTGCCCCTTTATTCTGCCCTCGTGAGACCTCACTTGGAGTATTGTGTGCAGTTCTGGTGTCCTCAACATAAAAAGGACATGGAACTGTTGGAACAAGTCCAGAGGAGGACCACGAGGATGAGCAGGGGACTGGAGCACCTCCCATATGAAGATAGGCTGAGAAAGTTGGGACTGTTCAGCCTGGAGATGAGAAGGCTGCGTGGAGACCTCATAGCAGTCTTCCAGTATCTGAAGGGGAGCTGTGAGGATGCTGGGGAGGGACTCTTCATTAGGGGCAGTAGTGATAGGACAAGGGGTAACGGGTTCAATCTGAAACAGGGGAATTTTAGACTGGATATAAGGAAGAAGTTTTTACTGTGAGGGTGGTGAGGCACTGGAGTGGGTTGCCCAGAGAGGTTGTGAATGCTCTATCCCTGGCGGTGTCCAAGGCCAGGTTGGACAGAGCCTTGGGTGACATGGTTTAGTGGGAGGTGTCCCTGACCAAGGCAACGGGGTTGGAACTAGATGATCGTAAGGTTCTTTCCTTACCCTAACTATTCTATGATTCTATATCTGGACTAGTAAGGCATACACTGCTCAAATATGCTTACCTTGCATAATTGCTTTATGTTGATCTGTGTAACTGAACTGTTATTGTTAGATTTTTTTCAAAACCATCAAATTAGTGGTACAAAATATAGTTAATAGCCATGAGCTGCAAGCAGATCCTTGCCAGATGTCATTAGAAACATCCTCCTGGAGGTCTATTAGTTGGCTTTTCATAACCCATTGTAATTAGTTTCTTTTTCTTGACTAATGCTAACTGCTCACAGGCAAGCAGTCTGGCAAGTAGTACTGCTGGGTGAATGAAGTTGCTATTTATTTATCTTTTATTTATTTAATTAATCTGTTTATCTATTGTTCTTGTAACTGCAAGAAATGTTTCTGGTCCTGAGTTTGACAGCAGGGTTAATATAAGTACATTTTGAATGTTGTGGCTATTGTCTGGAAAGAGGCATATCTAGTAAAGTACTCCATTTAGCTCAGTTAATCTTTTCCCCAGGTCTATTATCAGCCCTGTAAAAACATTAACTGTAGTGCACATTACTTTGATAACACATGAAAACCAAATGCCTACATTAAATACTGTGCTAACTTCCTCTTATAGCCAAGTAGGTGAAAAATAAAGATATGTAACATATACTAGGATTTGGCTCCAGGATGCAGTAGTAGTGTCTTTGATTAAATTATGACTGAAGCCTGTAAAAAAAGTGTTAAATTATTAATAATGTATTTTTCTTTGCTCACTGTCATTATTAGCTGCAAGCACCACAGACAGTTAGTCCAGCCATTCTGCAAGCTTGTCTCTCCTACACACTGACAGCCAGACTTGCACCCAGGTGGAACAAAGCTGGTCATTTCTTGGTGCAAGGTATTTGACTCCTCTGGGTGGGGAATTGACCATTAAGTTTTCAGTTCTTTATTGTTGCATTTGCTTTCCATAATTTAATTTCCATCATTATTTCATTCATTATATTATTTCATTCATTTATGTCCTATGACTTTTTCTTTGGTTGCATTTTTATTGTTCCTTTACCCAAGTTCAGTGATTCAAGTTAAGAATTCACTTTTTCATCTTCCTCCTCATCTTTGTAATAGATCAAATAATTTTTTCAACTGAATGCTATATACCAGATTAATAATTTCCAAACCAAATACTGTTGGATGCTTAAAGTGCTCTAAAAATCGGGCCTTTGGTTTGGATTCATGCTTTCATCACTGCCACTTCTGCATATGGTTTGCATGCTTTCCTAATACGGAAGTGGTTTTCCGTCAGAACATCTCCTTCTATCCTTCTATCTCACTTTATCTGTCTTTTTAGATGGTAGTTCCTTTGCCTGACATGTCTCTACTAGCTCCTGTGTAGGATAAATCTGAATTACCAAAGTATGGAAACCAGATGTGTTTCAGATCCTGTGGTGTGCTCTCTTTAAGTAGAGCAATTATATAGATATAACAAATACACATTGCAAAAAGTATGTAAGATATTGTCTTATTTCCAGACACAATATTAACAGTATCTTGTTTTCAATATCCTCAAAATATATAGTGCTCTGAATGAGATCATCTGATATGGGAATAGCAGGTAGAAGTAGAGGGCTAGATAGTAACTGATACAAATGAAAAACATTGACTAACAGCAATGTGATCCTGGTACTTGCAGCTTGTCTGATGATTTATGTTCCTAAAGCTGGGTGAAAATGATGATATATGGTAGAATATGTAGTAATACTATACTGATTTGCTTTTGAACCTGAGAAATTCATTAGCTGTTGGTTAGTTAAAGATAGTTCTATGTAAAATTTCCTTACTGGGTGAAAAAAATGATGTATAAGTTGCTGCCCACTGCTATACTTTCATGTATCTTTTTTGATATGTTAATGAATCAGTGAAAAGTTAATTGACAGAGATCATTCTCTTTCATCATTCATGACGCACACAAACAAAACTCTGTGATTTCTCCTGTTTTGCATAAACACATTAGACATGTGGTTTAGAAAATAACATCTGTTTTATTTATTAAGGAAAAGATTTTTTGTCTCATTCAGGAAGGCAAAATGCTGTTGGTAAGTACAATATTCTGTTGATAGTATTACCAACACAGCATCTTTCTGATTTTCATTCTAAAATATCCTGTCAAAATACACTGTTAAAAAAGGTAATTTTTCTACTATTAATCTATAGCCAAGATTAAAATTTATCATTTACAAGTTATGATTATTACAATGAAATTTACTTCCATCAAATGAGTCTTGCAAGTGTTGTGAAAGTTCCATAATAAGAGATAGGAGAATAGGCTAATGTGACTGTCCTGTGTTGTACTACATCTGCTGTTCACAAAAGTTAAATTAGCTAATACTGCTAATTTAACATACTGCTTAGCTATTGCAAAAATTGCAAAGTCGTATTTTAATTCCAGTATAAAAGTTAAAGATGACATCTAGGGATATTGGTGCCTAAATTTGTAACAGGGACATACGTTGAGGAGTGTGATACATTCAGTCTGTGTGCTACAGTTTGTTGAGAGTTGAGTGAATGTTCTAGAGATGTGTCAGTGAATGCTTGCATTGCTCATGCATTCTTACCTATTGACTACTTCAGGATGTGTAACACTGGGCTAGATGACTCAGTACAGCCAGTGGTTATAAGAACTACATTTGCTTTGAAAATAGGTGCTTATATATCAAGGGTGTGAGTATCAAGCACCCAGATGCAGGGACAGCCATGAGTTCCCAGAGAGGTGTGGTCTATAGATGGTTATTCATAATTATTTTAATTTTTCACAGTAAAAATGCACTTTATTTTAATTTCCATGGTAAGGAAGTTTAGCCTTCTGATTTTCAAATGCAGTATTTTCATTAGCAATTACTTTAAATAAATATTTTGTTTAGCTTTCTGCCTAACAGATGCATTATGGTTCAAAACTAGGCTTTGTGCTTTGGTTTTATCTTAGTCATAGACCTCAATGTATCAGAGAGACAGCTTTGCATCAGTGTGGAGGCTTGCTCGGTTCGGTTGCCACCCCCTGAGGTATAATACAGTTATATTTTCTGTAATTGACTTACTAATTTTTATCTTCTTTTCTGTTATGTGACTTGCAGTTAGCGTGATGGGGATAGAAGTGCTTACTTCTGATTTCATTAAGATCGTAATCATATTCACTGACTATCTGCAGCTGTTATAAACGCACAACATCCATATTATACCAAAATTGACACCCATATTATATCTATTACTAATGCATTCTAGCAAACATTGTAAAACTGAGATTTTTGACTACTTAACAGGCCTGTCAAAAAAATGCTAACAGAATATAGTAAAGTGCCTTTACGATTCTAGATTTCATTCTAGCAGTGTTTTTTAGAAGGCATTCACTGTCTCACTGTAATACATAGTTTTGAGTAACATCTTAAAAGTGAAGCTACAGATAAGTTGTTAGCACTGTATTTCAAGTCTCTGCATGTAATTATTCCGGAAACTGCTTGATTTTCTATGCAGCTGCCAAAATACTGGAGCAGCCTGGACTATGCTGCTTGTAACCATAATTAATAAACTGTTTAGGAAATCATGGATTAGGTTGAAAAAATACCATCTTTGTGACAGCTGTGTCACCTTTGTTGGATATGTCCATACATACAAGTGCGCATTTGTCAGGCTTGCTGATTTTTTCCAAAACAAGTATTTCTGATCCAAACACTTGCTTAGGGTAGAATAACGGGATTTGTTGTGTGACCTATTCGGACAGCATAAACATTAAAGCTATCTATAGGAATCCAGTTCCAAAATGACACAAAGCAATGATGAAAGTGATCATGATGTGGCTTCACTGTCAGTTGGATCATTTTAATGCTTTTTAAAAATAGAAATGGCAAAATTTTCTTGCCAGTGAATAAGTGCAAACCATAGTAGGACACAAAGAGAGAAGATGTTTCTCAAATATCAGTGTTTGATTGTCCCCTGCAGTCAAATATTTCTGCATTGTGAAAATGTGGTGGGTTTTGACTTCTCACAGGGTGAAGCTGTATATCCCATTAATTCTGGTGCTTGAATCTTTGCACTTGATTGAGCAAGCTGGCATACACAGTTCCTAAACTGTCCACATGGGTTTCTGATTTGAACTTCAAAAATGTGCATGGAAGTGAGAGAGTTCTTAGGATGAGAAATTCCTTCTATGCTCTTACTTATTAAAACACTTCAACCCTTCCCATGGCAGAGGGATTGGAACTAGGTGATCTTTAAGATCCTTTCCAACTCAAACCATTCTGTGGTTCTGCAAAAGTTTAAATCTTACTGATTTAAATAACCTTTAAACCTTGTACTTGCATAACATTTGGAAGTATAGGCTCTAACATAAGACACTGTGCAATTTGATGATCTTCTGTAATAATTAGTTTGTGAGAGCTGATAATAATGTACAAGCTTCAATATATTGTGATGCACACTTTGAAAATTTTAATTGTGTACTGCTGTAGAAATATTTGCAAATAACTTTTTTTTTTTTTCATTTTAAGCTGTCAGATTTTGATATTTCAGCAAACATCTTAAAGCTGTTTGATACCAATGAAAATACAGTTATTCAGCAACATTACATATTAAGTAACTGGTGCTATGTTTTGCCAAGGTAGGAGTCTGTTCATGTTTCATCAGAAACAAACATTTCCTGGAATTGTTGCCCTACAAATTGTGCATATGATACTAGTGATAAGAACACCTCTGTTTTACAGTCTGTTTTACATTCAGGAATCTTTCTTTTTTATTTTAATAGCCTCAGTGTTACAGAAAATGAGAAAAATAAATCAGTGAATCATAAATTACACATTTAAATTTTACTTCAAGTTTACTAATCTCTCTCCTACTTCTGTGGTATGCAAGAGTATTAATTCTTGTCAAATATAATTTTAGCCAAAAGTGTCAATTTAAAAAAAAAAATATTTCCACCTTCACCACAAGCTGTCCCTACTTTCATCATAAAGATAAGAGAAGTAATGATACATTTGCTTTTGTTCTACATTCACTGGTAGTGTGTATTGCAGACTAGAAATTAGACTTGTAAGTGCCAAATTCTTTTCCATACATCAGGAAATATTGTTATTTTTCTGTCGTAAACTTAAAAGTTAATGGTATTAGTCCTCAAAATATAAAAATAATCCATTAGTACTTTCAGTGCAAAAAAAAAAGATTTACTTTTTTCCCCTTAAAGTTCAGTATATTTTCAGCTGAGTTTTATGACACCCTTTCTAAGCAATCCCCCTTACCTATCACAGCATGAAAATGGGTCAGATTATAAACATCAGCCACATAATTCCACCAGAATCTCCTTTCCATTCATATAAAGAACTTCAGATGCACTGGAAGAATCTGGTAAGAGACAATATATACTGATTTTGTTTTTCCTTCCCTTTTTTGTACCTATTGAGTTTGTATTTGTAATGCATGTTTGTATATTGTTTTTTCTTTTTCAAGTATGGATATATTCTTCCAGAGGATCTTAAAGAGAAAAAAATATACTTAAGCGTTTACTTCAAACCAATAGGAGAAAGGTTCTTTACGTATCCTTTCAGAATATTTTTGTTACATTTCCTCTGCTTTTAGCAAAGATCTAAATTTTCATCTTTGAATGTGCCATGTTTTCTTCTTCCATAATTTCATAGAAGTCGGTGAAGAATTGTTTCACTAGACAAATCCGAACAATATATTTAGTGAAGTCTCTTTGTCTCATATATTGTATATATATGTTGAATAACAGCAAGTCAAATAGAACACTTTGCTTCACAGATTCCATAAACATGATAAATGCCATTCTAAATGGTGATGTATAAAGATGAGTTATATTCCCGTAAAAAAAATGTCCAACAATGGTTTGTTTTAAAGAGAATTTTCCTGCTGTGGGAAGCTAGACTAAGGCTTACTTATATTGAGTAATCTTTACTATGCTAGGTTAGTATGGTATAATCATGGTGAAGTCCTGTAACTTAACTTCAGTCCCTTAAGAAAGTATGTGCTTCTGTTCACCTCTTTGAAAAAGCTTTAGCTATGTTCATGATTTCTTCTCAACAATTATGATTCATAACTCTAGAAATGGAAAGAAACTTGTTACATATCCCTGAGCACTTATCCAGGTACCCCTTAAGTTGCATTCGAAGTCAGCCAGTGCAGTATTTCTCCAGAACAAATTCGGAAAGCGTGTTGAACTCATTTCTTTCTGATCTTAAACATAATCTTTCACATCTATGTGGATTTCCAGTGAGAATGACAAGTAAAGCACTTTACGCTACACAGGAACTCTCCAGGGCTCCGGTACGTATAAGATTTTTTTATAAACATATTAAGGGCATGTACTTTCTTCAAGGTATGGAGTGATCTTTATCATATTCAGAACACAGTAAGAGCATAAAACTGCTTTTCACAACAAAGAACTATCAATCACATAGCTTTTAATTGTATGTAATTAAATATTATGCTATTTGCCATTTTTAGGTTGTTGTTCACATCACAAATACATTTGAAAACTAGACTTAGTGTTAAATAGTTGCTAGCAATATTTGCAGTTCTGTAGACCTTGTTTTAAAGTTGGATATCCAAAACTTCCTCACCCCTCTTTCATGAGAATAATAATAGTATCAACAACAATAAAAACAAGATATTGTTATTGTTGCTATTGTTATTATATTATTACAGATTATTATTACAATTTATTGAAGCTGAAACATGCAAAAAAACAACCCAAGAGCAATATAAAGTTCTGTGAACCTAAGCATTTAAAAACCCTGAATCTGTAAGGTTTACTCCGTTGTTGGTGATGGAAAGGAGGCAAGCAATCAAAACTCATTTAATTTGAGGTTGTGGCAAATGCTGAGACTCAAATTTCTGTGGTAGCAGTGTGTGAAAGAAGAAATGAAGTAATTAATTCTGAACAAAGAGCAGTGACAGAACTTGCACAGATTCTAAAATACTATAATCCTCTTTCAGAAAGCAGTTGCTGTTTATGTCTCCTCAGTGATCAAAGCTAGAATGGCTCCTTTCTGTCATCTGCAGTTTTTACAGACATCCAAACTGTCTTTGAGTCAGAATATAGGTGCCCTTAGAAGTTTTAAGAGATGAGGAGCCCTGCCAGTCAAACTCTTTGCAGATCACTTCAAAAGGGGTAGGCATTACCTAGCTGGAAAGCACTAAACCTAGATAATGGCTGCAATTTAAGTCTTTCCTTCTGAGAAATAAGATATTCCACCATAGTTTAGAAATAAAGAACAGGGGGAGGGGAAAACAAATTTTCATTTATAGTGACAACAACATATTTATTGAAAATATAGTTCATTCTAATTCAAAAAAGGAAAATGTGTAGTTATATATTGTGGTATTAGGTTGATAATGTATAGTGATGCTTTATGTTACACTATCAGATTTTTAAATCCTGTTCGTTCTATTTATTAACTCTTGTTGTATTGCAGGAAATAAAATCTAAGCATATGAACTTGGCTGGTGAGATGGTTTGTGTAGTATCTCTAACACAGGCTCCTTCAAGGAAACAGACTTTGCCTGGAATTTCTTCACCATGCAGTATGGAAAACAGCCACTGGATGGAGCATTTGATCAAAGAGCCAGAAACAAACGGTTTTTCGAGTAGCAGTAAGAATATAGGAAAGGTTACCATTGAAGCAACAGCGATATCAATGAATAACAGGCAAATACCAGAAGTACCAGAGTTAACAGTTGCGAAATCACTAGGAATGCCTGTAAATTCAGCCTTTGAGCTCCCATCGCAGAAAGTCAGCAAAATTATACCAATTTTCAAGGGAAAGTTGTTGCAAATGAATGGAAGGACCACATATCATATGGATGGGAAGAAAAGAGAAAGTGCTGAAAGACATTCACCAATGAAAATTATGGGGGTTTCATCTTCTATGCTGACTGGGTACAAGCCCAGCATGACTCAGGTTTACAAACCTGTTCAAAATATGTCAGTTAAAAATCCTGCTCATAGCAGCATACTTCAGGTAACAAACACGAAAACATATGTAAAACGTGGTGCACCTGTATTTCAATGGAAAACGGAGTCTTCTGGACAAATGACTAGTTCTGATTTGTCTGATAACGCAGCTTCAGGTGGGAATTCGAGTGAAGCCAATCACAGAATGGCAAATTTTCCTTCCTTTCTTAAGAATGTTGGGTCAGTGCTTCAGAAATCAAACATCAGTTTAAGTCTGAATGCATATGAATCTCCTGTGTCCAGTGCAAGAAGGGGAAAAAAGGTTGCAAGTCAAAATACCATGCAAGTTCTTCAGAAACAAAACCAGTCAAAGAAAGTAGATTTGCAGATTCGTAAATTAGTCAATGAAATGACAAATTCCAGTTTATCACAGCAACAAAGAAAGAGATCAAATGAAAGCGCAGGGTTAAATATTAATGAATCTATCTTAAAAGGTACAGCGTGCATCACCAAAAATGAAGAAAATAAAGCAGCATGCCACTATATGGACTGTATTGCTGAGACAATCAGCCATCTTTCCAAATCTAACTTTGAACAGGTATGGTAAATAACAGCCTCATTCTCACTGGTTCTTGCAAATTCAGTATATTCTAAAACAATGTTAAGCAATAAAGAGCATGAGTTTCACCATGTTCTACCATCATTCTCAACATAGTTTTCTAAAATTTGTATCATGCAAGTTAATGTTTTCAGCCACTGGTGTTGTGGGGTTTTTTTTCTGAAAGGGAAAATGTCTTGCTGTGTTGTCTGAGATAGACATTTCTTTTTTCTGCTTGAGACTTTTAAGATGGGATAATTAGTTTTCCTTTCTTTAAGACAGTTGATTAGGGAATCAAGATTTATGGGAGTTTATCTGCTAGGGGTACTTCACAACCTAATTTTTTTATGATGCTGTCTGCTTTTTAGTAAAATAAATAGCTGAGTTTATTTCAGCACAATTTTTATGAGGATGATAATCCCACAGATTGGGCACATGGGTGAAGTGTGTTCTGCTTCTAACTGTTTTCACCTATAAAATATAATTTGGTAGGTTATTTAATATTTGTGTTATGAGGGCATCTTTTGAAAAAATAGGCCATTTTAACAGCTAGAAAAATACTGGGTTGTTGGTTTCTTTCTAATAAAGGTATAAATTTCTATACTTTAAGGTGATTACAGGGAACAAGTATCTGACATATGAAACACTGACCTCAAAACTGACTTCCTCAGTCAAGGAGAGCGATGTGGAAGAATTTGTAAAGAAAAGTTGTGCCAGAAGAAGACAGGTAAACCCCACACACACATAACACCCCCTAGTCCTGCAGACAAGGGCCTGAATTAAGAGAGAAAAAGGAAAGTTTTTTGTGGGTTGGTTGTTTTGTTTTTTTTTTTTCATTTTAGCATGTTTCAGTTAAAATAGGGAAGCCCTGTCTGGATAAATTTAACCTTAACCAGGATAAAATAAACCTTAACCATTAGTTATGTTACTGGTCCTTCAAACATGATCTGGTTTTAATTATTTACCCACTATACCTACAAACATATTTGTCATGGAAATTATATTTCCATTGGAAAATAACTTTTATTAATTGCTTGTCCTATCATTCAACTAAGGATTTCACTCAGAAACAGCTTTTTAGTTGAGCTATTAGCTTAGTTCTACTGCTTTATTTGCTTTACTGTTTTTTTGCCTTTTGTTTGTTTTTTGGGTTGTTTGGGGTTTTTTTGTTAACAGAAAGAAGAAGGTTCAATGTTAAAGAAAGCCAAGAGAAGTAAGCCTTCTATTTAGGATGTTCTGGAGTACTGGAAGAAAACCCTGGGTATGCTCATTACAAATCTTAAATATTGTTCTTTATTAAAATAGTATCATGTCTTTAATAGTTCCTCCTCTTTTGGATCATAATAATGATATCAGCAGTCTCCAAAGGAATTACTTGACTGAACAAATGCTTTCCAGAATCTAAGATTTGTTGTTTATTGGATACTAGTAAATAAAGCTTTTCATTTTTCTTTTTCTTTTCTTTTTTTTTTTTTTTTAAGTCATTGAATACAACGGCATCTTGTACTTAGTAGAACTTAGAATTTGGCTTAAATTTGTATTTTGATTGGCTTATTTTCTTTCATACTAAAATAATCATAGGTTTTGTGCTGCTGACTTTCATTTGAATCTGAGCTGAAAACTATACATCATTAAAGTGAAGCTATGTATATTATTTAGTATCATTACATGAAATGGGGCAAGGACAAAATGGCCTGTAATATGAAATGAATAAATTTTTTATACTTTTATATAAACTACATAATTTTTATACAAACTATATAACTTTATATAACTATATAAACTTTTATAACCATATATTTCAACCCACATCATGGGTTGTTGTTGACAATAGTCCTGCAGGATAGAACTAGCTTTTCCTTTGAATTTTTTTTTTAATATTAAGCATACATCCAGAATATGAAACCCACCAGTCTTATTGACCTAATGCTTATCTGAAGTCAGCAGTAGTAAAACATGCAGGAAAGAGTAGCCTATACAGTGAACTGTTTCAGATAAAAATAAAGTATATTTATTACAAAGAAAATATTGATGTAAACAAGATGATCACACAGACACAACAGCACAAAAATGTATATTATACAAAACCAATAGAAAAAAATAGCAATAAAGAAGCAAAATATGAGCTATCCATCTTCTAATCTGGCTTTTGGCTTCAATATAACTGATAACAAGTAGCCAAATGTGCATTTTGTCTCAGAGATGCACTTTATGATCTTCCTTTCTTCATGTGGATAAATTTCTTCCAGTAAACAAGAGATCAGTTGTTTGCTTTCCCTAAAGAAAGTCTGTTGTATGGATGGAAGCTTTCCTTATAAGGCCTTCATACTTCATTGTTCAGCCTATCTTGTTCCTGGGTCTGGCATTTCATCTTTCCTGCTTCAAGCTAGGCAGTTCAGGTATGGTGCTTCTTCGGATATGATCTGGTTTAGCAGTTCAGCATAGATAGGTCCAAAGTCTCTGACTTTCACTGAGGATTGATAAACAGAAATGGTGTCTCTGAGAGTGGTCAGAACTTTACTTTTTTACTCAAATAAAATCTTTTATTATTATTATTTATTACTTAAATGCCACAGGATCAAGTTGATTGTGGTAGGTGATGCTTAAACCCTTGGGAAGAAACAGCATCTTCCATAAAGTGTATAAAATATGGGTTCTTCATTGGTGTTAATGACTTAAAAAGAAGACTGGAGCTAAAATAACTTCTGCTATTGGATAGGTGCCTACAGTTCTGATTCTGAACAGCTTTGCTCTGAATTTCTTTATTATGTATTACTACACATGCATTCAGAGTGCATGTTTTCCTTTGAACACATGAGAATTAGTTATAAGTTTTCAAATGGACGAGAAGGTCTCACAATGTAATTCAATGACATAGTCAACCGTAAGGACTTGGATCTATAATTCATGATGATAAAAACATTTTTTTACAATTATCTTGCAAAAAGGGTCAGTTTTTATGACTAAAGTGCCACGCTGCACTGCCTCTTAACTTGTCCAGGAAATCACAGCATAATTCTGATTTATTTTTTTCTTTTGCTGATGAAATAGTTGGTATGTCAATAAAGCAATGTGAGAGAAGTATTTAACATTTTAAGAAATTGAAAATTTGATTCTAGCACTAAGTCATTCTCATTCATTCTGATTTTAATCATATGCAGACAATCCCCCATTCTCTGAGGAAGGATTTTGGCTTTTCTTTGGCATAAAAAGAGTAGCTAGATATTAAGCATGAATTTGAGACACTCCCCTCCTGCCCCCGTATTTAGTGGTCTAGACTACACTGGGTACATTGCTCTTTTTCAAGGCTGTGCTGGTTGGGCCAGGGGAAACTACAAGGCTGCTGAGGCGCTCAACCCATGAAGTGGGGGCAGGATACCTGCTATAATGAGCTCTGTAGAGTCTGTTGGGTATGTCTACTAAATTTCCATGGAATTTCATAGTTCTGACATCTAAAACAGATGTAGACAGCTAAATGTAGGTGGTCTAAATCTGGAGCTCAAAACCATTGCAAGAGTCAGACTTGAACAGTTATTCGGTTTAATAAAGATCTGCATCATTAAAAAGTTTTCAGAAGCAGTTTATAGATCCTTTTTAAGCTATTTTATATTTACTATCAAATGGGAAATAAAAAGTCTCCATGTTTGGTCCTTCATTAACAGAAGTCATCTTGCCATTTTCAAGGTCAAAAGGAAAGTTTGGGTTCTAAAACCAATCAGAAGAGCAGAGCTTCCAAGGAAGAGTGTATACTAGTACTGAATGACAAAAGAAGGATTTTCAGCATTTCAAACATTCGTGCTAGAACAGACATGTTAAAAATAGCAGCACTGAAGTTACCAAGCCTTTTCCACTGATTTGTAAAACTCTTCCTGTTACTCTGCTCCTGTGTTGTCATATGATACCAATCTTTTGGTTTAGACACCAATTTCATTTAGCAAATGAAAATCTACAAATTCATTACATAAAGTAATAATAGTATTATTTTACATGAAAGTAATTGCTGCCATTACTGTAAGGATATTGTATGAACACAAGATAGAGACAATGGATCCACACAACTGGAATTTAGTAAAAATTTTTAGCAGTTTTGTATAAAGGGCTAGAGGTCTATTGGACTATTTCTTCTAAAAAGTGTATGGTCCCAAGCCAACATTTAGGAATTTCTCTTCTAATTAGAAGGCTATGATACAGAGATTTCCACAAAGCCGTCTTTCAAATGCTTTCTGGAAATATGAGGCTAAAATAATACCTTTTAAGATATATAAATATAATAGCTTGAACTGCTTTCTGAGGAAACAGTTTTGACTTACATTTGAAAATATTTGCATGGAAATTATATGTAGTGAAAATATTTGGGATTTCATAAAAAAAAGATTATGAAAATATTAAGTCTTTCAATGAAAAAGCAGTTTCTTTTATGATCGGGGCAAATTCATTTCCTAATAGAATCTAGTGGCAGAAATAACTTTTGCTCTGTGTACATTAGTAGATTATTGGTACTTAAATACATGAGACATACTCCAAAAAATAGATGCTGTCATAACTTTATTGCTATTATCCTATCCATTTTTAATTGCTGCAGGATTGTTTCAGGTTAGGGACAATCTAATTTACTGCATGGCTGACCACTTAAAAATGCTAAAAAATACTTCCTCACGATTCTGTTTCTTATGTTCTTATAGAGTTAAGAATGTGATTTGGCTACCTGATCTCAGCTGGTTCAGGAGTCGTGAATAGACTTCTGCAGTCAAAGTTGCTTCTTCCAGCACCACAGCTAACTGTAATATTTTGAGGCCTTTAAATTTAAAATCCCCAGACCTAAGAGGAAGGACAAATCTGTGCATAGTACCATAGTGAGAGGATTCTTTCTTGGTCTGTATAAAAATACAAACATTTAACTTGAATGTGCTAAATCCAAACTTTGTAAACTTTGCGTATTAACCCTACTGAACTGCCTTTTGGTTTCATGATCTAAACTTTCTCTTTGTTTTCCACCATTCAGGTTCCCAAGAGGGCATTAACATACTTGAGGATCTCTGAGCTTTGTGAACTGCTGTTTATTTCACATCTTTTATACCTGTTTCTGAGTGAAAAACTGAGTGTTAAGTACATGCAGTCAAGTGAAACCATGTATCTAGAATTTTTCAAGTTCAGGTTAATAAGCAAGTGTCTCTAAAGAATTTGAAAATGTAGCTAATTGCTTAGGTTTTGAATCACATTATATCTGTTCTAGTACTTGCACTTAATCATTCTTCCAAGTTAGTTTTAAGTTTCAAGTCCGTCTTTTTATGATATAGTTATATTTCATTCCTTGCTGCAATGTCTAGGCCTCTGTTTCATCAGTAAAACATTCCTAAGTAACTTTTCCTTGTCAAGTCCAATGGTTAGAAACCAATTGGTCCATTTTTTCTTAGGGGAATAAGCCGGAGGATGGATTTGACTCAAGCTTCTTTAATTCTTATTATATATTCTAATGAATTAAAAAATGAGCAGAATTTTGCCTTATTACAGTGACAGCTTTTGTTTTGTTTTGCTGTTTCTCAGATGGTGACTGTTAACATAACCGATTTAATGGTGCCAGTGTTTAAAAGGGATTGGGCACTTCAACAACATGTATTTTTCTCATACTTAACACAAAGAATACAAAACCACACAAATATTACAAAAATTAGAGCAATATACGGAGTGAGGAATCAATATTTACATTTTGTCCGGAAGTTGGTATACAAAAGTGCCTTTCAAATGCTGTGGATTCTTTCATAATTTGCCTATATGTAATTGATCTTTTTCTTGTCTTACAGTATGAAAAAGCCTGTAGAGCAGTTCCATTTCTGCTGTGCTAGATAAATTAATGCTTCATCTGATCTGTTTCCTATTGTTGCCTTTTAAATGTTGCTGGTTGACAATATTTGCCTTGTATTATAATTGAATTAATTTTGCATTATTCTTGCATTTTCAAATATTAACCTAATTTTGTGTTACGTATTATAATACTTAAAATATAGAAAATTAAATTATTGCAGGTCCATTTTCTTACATTTAAAATAAACTACTGAATTATTTATTTTTGCCAAATTGCTAAATGCTTCCTAGTCTGTGCTGTAGGGAAAGACCCTGCTATTCTACCCACTACACACGCTCCTTGTAAATGTAAAGTAAGGTGTTGATAGTGAGTGGAAACATGCTGGGTGTAGGAGCGGTGATGGAAATGCCACTGATGGGAAAGAAGGACTGGTGCTGTGGCTGCCTTTGGAGGAGCTGGCAATGCTGAAAGGACCTTTGCTGCTGCCTACCCTTCACTGTTTATTTAGAGAGGTTGCAAGAGCCCATCCCAGTTTCTCCTGGGCAGAATACCCAGGCTTCTGGCACAGGAGCCCTCAACATCTAGGATCACCTGGGGCCTCCACATGTGATGCCTGCAGTCCTGATTTCTTAGGATTAAAGGAACAGACCCTTCAACCTGCCCCAAAATATATAAATGTACATCCAGAACAAGTGGAAATGTCAAAGGTAAAAAAAATCACCAGGTGTGATAAACTGGTAAGAGGTCAAGTGGCAGAAGATATCACCTGCCCTTTGATGCCTGCAGGTCTTACAGTGTTTTAGATTACAGTGTTTAGCTTTTTCATCAGTTTTCAAATAATCTGATTCTGTGTCAAAGTCGAATCAAGTTCACATTTGTGAAAATGTACATAGCTGTTTTATTGAGCCCCTGTATTAGGTTCAGAAAGTATTTGTTGAGTTGAAGTACTCATAGTGAATTCACATTATTTAGTAAATACGCACTTTCAGAGAGTGATCCTTTCTCACGTATTTTCATAAGTTGACAGTGTTATTTTCCTCCCCCATCTTCACAGATGTAAGCCGGTGGGACTTTCTACATAGTTTAAATTGGCACATGCTCAAGAGCTCTGTCAAATCTGAATTTAGAAGTTTACAAATTATTCTGTAGGTGCTTATAACTTCAGGGAAGCTTGCTGTTTAGTTTCTTTGGTGCTGGTTTTATACCAGCTTATGGTTAATAGTTGGTTTAAAAATAGTAAAATTAAGATCTCTGAAAGTACTATGTCACTGTATCACAAAGTAATTTAGTAAATATAGCAATATAAAGGACTTTGGGCTGGATGTTTATTCTCTTCAACATGCTCATCTCCTAGCTTCCCAGAGAACCACGAGTTGAACAACTGTGGTATTTCTTTCATAGTTCAGGAAGAGGATTTGTCCCAAACCTGGAAACCATACATAGTTCTGTCTCCTTGCAAAACTGTAGTTTCGCTGGCCCATGGACAGCACAGAGCAGCGGCGCAACCTCTCACCTAAAAACTTGCAGCCAGGATGAGCATCTACATTTTCCCTGGGATCTATGCAAAATTCGAACAACCTCTAAACAGCTTAAACCCCCTAGGGCAGCATTAGAATCCAGGACAAAGCAAGCTAACTTTGTTGGAAAATATGTGAAAATTGTTCCCAAAGAGTTTACAATTGCACCAGGAGCACAGATAGCTTCTTACAATGATTTTTTTTTTTTTAATTGCTTAAAACAGTGACAACAAATTTCTTTCTAAACCCAGTATGTAAAAGGGATTTAAGCTTACTCCAGTGAGAGGAGTTCAAAAGTATTGAAAGCTAATACGTCTTATTGGCTTGCAGGACAAAGCTTGTTCTCTGGGATCAAATAATCACTTTTAGGAATAGATACAGTTTTGTTCCAGTGTGAGAACAGCCCAATAGGTGTGTACAAATAAAAATATATACATACGCACACATATGTATACGTGTTAGAGTGTGTGTGTGTGTGCACATCCGTACATATAGCTGTATCTCATTACAGATGTTTTAAAAATATGCAACATAATGTGAAAAATGTTGTTCTAGTACAGACAATTCAGTTTGGGTAGCAGCATTTGGTAGTTCCCCACTGCTGTGTACCAGGAAATGATGCATGTGGAATAATCCCTTGCCTATGCCACAAAACTCCATTTACATTGATGAGAGCAGGCTGCCAAAGCTCAGCTGATTGCAACTGTGCTGTCTCTATCAGTAGATGAGCTTAAATACTATTAAACCATCAACTACTATTTAAATAAATCAGCGATTAACCAAATACGCTGATAGCTGCAGCAGCCCGAAGTTGAACCTTCATGTAAATCACAGAATCACAGAATGGTTTGGGTTGGGAGGGACCTTAAAGGTCATCTAGTTCCAAGCCTGCTGCCATAGGCAGGGACACCTTCCACCAAGCTGATCAGGCGGTTATGTGCTTTCCAGCTAACACAGTGCAGTAAAATGCATTTCTCTTAATTATGCAGGATATCACAGCACAGATTTTAGCAAGAATAAACATTCATCTTACAAAGCAGCTGGCCACCGGTCTCAGCTCAGGCAGGGAACAATACCAGGGAAATCGGCTGAGGCTGCTCAGTGCCAAAGTGCTTTCCAGAATAAAAATAAGAAGGATTACTCCACTGGGAGGTGCTAGCAGGAGATAGCTATGCCTACACACCCCAAATAGGTGCAGATACCTTTTTATGTTAAGTGTTTTATTATGTAGGAGAATTATTATTATTGCAGCTGAAGCTGCATGGCTCTGGGATATTTCAAAGCAGATGAGGTAAATGAAGCAAAATTAAAACTGCTGAAGAGGGGGGAAAAGGTTGTTAAGTCATAATTCAAAATGGTAACACATGAGTTTTGGTCTTCAAAAGAAAAATTTATCAGAAAATTAACTTCTTTTTTTCTACCATTCATAATATGAAAAATAAAATGGAAAGAAGAAAAAGGGACCATCTCCAAAGCAGATAGCATTCTGCAGCTTACTGTGCATCTTTTAATGTATGTGACCAGCATGGTAAAGAACTGTAATTTGTGTAAACTCAAACGTATGCTAAGCAGGAAATTTCTGTAGTGCTCTTTCTATTGAAAGGGAGATCAGACTCAGTTCCACAAGGTTTTATTTTCTGGGAGATCAGATGCTTTGAAGGCTGACGAAAGCAGTTTGGTTTCTATCAGATCTCACAACCCCTTTGGGAATGCCCTCACTGAAATGCCACCCAGACAAAGGGAGCACTTTGTCCTATTGACCAAACTTGGGTTATTGTTTTTCAGTCTTCTGATACTAATTGGATATTCTGCCTCTGCAAGTTTTTTAATTTAGAAAGAATAACAATAAAATCTAAATTCTGCACATCACTGAGAGTAAATGGATTCCAGTAATGGAAAACATGTAGCTCCCAATACCTGGGCACCCAGCCAGTCCAGCTTGGTAGTAAGCATACATCTTCATTAATTCTCATTTAGAGACAAATCAATTGATTTTAGCAGTGTAAGCTCAAGTAATGTGAACCACCATTCAGATGGAAAGGAAAAAAACACAGGGATTTTGCTCCTACTTGGAATACTGGATGTGTGTACATCCACTGGCTATTGGCCTGCATGCATCTGCTTAAATCTGAGGCCTCAGCTGAGTGAAGGATGCTGAACTGTACTCCCTCATGTCCTGCATTTCCCTGGCAGAGCCAAATCTGCTGGCCTTGGGGTTGGAATGCTGATTTTACCTACTTTCCCAGGCTTTTCGGGGCTGAAGGAAGCTCACTGGGTGGGAGTAGGCAAGAAGTTGTGTTAAATCACAGAGACATTCATTCAGAAATCTGGTTTTAATGTTTGACATACACCTACGGAGATTAATTAATTTTGAATTAGTCCAAATTCAAAGGCTTAAAAGCCACTTACTTTCTGCATTGTTAGTGAATGATAATAAGCTCATCAGAATTTATCATAACAATTACACTGGGAGTTTCAATACTCTGAATGCTGTATACTTTTACAAGTTTATGGAGGAAAGTTTTCATCTACTTGGATCTTTTCAAATATTACTGGAAAGCTTAAAAAGTGCTATAGAATAAGGGGTTTGGTTGGGTTTTTTTTGTTTCACATTTTAAAATTTTGGGGTTTTTTCCAAACTTTAGTTAAAACCCCCATATTTTTATGTTATTGTATGTAATTTTTAACCCAAGATGAAGGTCTAAAGCAGTCTTCTTGACAACTGAAGGAGAACACAGAGCAGAAGATCTCAGAGAAAGTCTCTGTAGATTATGTAGAAAAATAAAGGTACACAAAAGGAAAGTTTTTTGGTGAGCTAAGCCCATTCCCCTGTATACCAAGAGTGTACCCCCTCTGGCTAGGATTTCATCTGAACCCACTGAGTTGGGCATCAGTAATGAGATAATATTGAAAGTACGCATCATTAATTTTTAAGAGAGCCACCGCTAGAAGAAAACACAGACTTTGTAAAAAGTGTGATAGACCTGTCAGGGCTACATTTTAACACCAAAACATTTTTATTTTCATGTCCCCATAGAGTCGGTATCTGTTTAAGTTAGAGCAACACTCATTTATTGTGCAGTTTCACACAGTACCCAGGGGAAATTTGATGCAAAGTTTAGCTCCTTCATATCAACTGCACATGCCTGCCACTGCATAATCAGGGCAAGTATTTTCAGAATATCTCAGAATAATAAAACAGCAGCTTTTTAACATGTTCATTACAAAAAAGAATAAAAAGTTTAGCATGGAATGCACCAAGTGTGTGTGTGGGTTAAAATTTTTGTGAACATAGGAAAAAATATTTGTGCTGTAACTCACTATTCCGTTAAGGTATAACGCGTTATTATCACTTTTTGATATAAAAGTCACAGAAGCTCAGAAGGTCTGTAAAAGTTTGGATCACTGGATATGACACTTGCTGTTCTGATGAGCTTATCCTCAAACAGACAAGAGAGACCCACAATTGGAGGCACAGGCTATGAATAAGAACAGAGAGCTGGTAAGGATCAACATTTATAACTGATTCTAGGTCACCTGATTCCCATCGAGTTCCTTGAATATTTAGTCACGTCTCCCATTGTGATTATGGTAGCATTTCTGTTCAAGTAATTAATCAATTATATTGAATTCTGTGTCATTTTTGTCACACCTCTCCCACAAGTTTATGCATGCTTAGTCCAAAAGCGCAATTCTCTGCCTGCATCCCAGCGTGCTTAGAACTTCAGTGTGAATAACACACTTTCGGGAATGCTCTGCAGAA